AGATGGGAGAAAGGTGCTGATCCTCAGGGAGGGGGCTGGGAAAGAGGGGGAGCCTACCCCATATAGGGCTGGCGGGGGGGGAGGGTGGTCTGCCCCACAGGGAGGGTGTAGAAGGGGCTGAGGAGGGGGCTGGCCTCTGCAGGGAGGGGCTGGCCTGGCCCACACGAAGGAGCTGGGAAAGGAGGGGGTGTCTATCCTATAGATTTGGGAAGGGGGGGGGCGGTCTGCCCCACAGGGAGGGCGTTAATAAAAAGGAGGAGGTTTCAAAGGGGTTGGCCTGCCCCACAGTGAGGGGCTGGGCAACGGGGTGGCCTGCCCTACAGAGCTGGGAAACTGCCCTGCCCTGCAGGGAGGGTGTTTGGAAAGGAGGAGACCGGCCCGCCCCACAGGAAAGAGGGGAGCTGGCTGGGAACACACGGGAAAGCGGGGGGGGGGGGCGCTAAGGCAGATTCAGAAAAGGGACCCGGTGGGAAAGAAACTAGTTCACTTTCGCCAAAGGAGATGGATCGATCAATCAGAAGGCACCTTGGAGGTCTTCTAGTCCAACCCAGGGGACCCTAGACCATTTCAGACAAGTGACTGTCCTGTCTTTTGTTTTGAAAAGGAAAAGGAAAAAAAAAAGGAGCAGTTTTAGCTTCAGGCCAGCAGCCAAACTTGCTCAGCCTGATAATCTCAGCATCCGACAGGATTCCTCCGATGGGCTCCCCCCTCTCTTCAAGCTGCTCCAGAAATCCTGCTAAAAGCCCCCTAAGCCAGGAGGGTAGCCTGCTTTTGCCCCTCCCCCAAATCCCCCAGCCCCACCAGGAAAAAATAACTAAATAAATGCTTTCCTTCTGGACCCACAATTCATACCCCCTGAAGAAATATCATTTATTTACTTCTTTTTATAACTATTAACAACTGAGCTGCCAGATGGCTTTTAAAATTCCTGCTGGCAAATCCAGAGCCTGCTGAGAGGATAAACGGGGTGGGGGGGATTAAGGAGGGTGGGGTCGTGCTAATGCCCTTTTTGCTGCTGTCTCTCTGATACCCTATAATATGTTTGACCATTTTTAGGGGGCAGAGCGGGGGGAAGGCATTAAAATATTGAATCTGTTAAGCAGGATCCTAGTATTAATCCGCTGGCTGGATTGAGGCTGAGGTTAAAGAACTGCCCTGTCAGAATCGAACGTCGTTGTGTGGTTGTCGGTAGGTACACAGGGTAGAAGTCTTGCTTGGTCCCAGCGGGTTTCCCAAGCTGCTTGTGTGCTTCTGGGGTTGTTGTTTTTCCTCTGTTGTCGTTGACTTATTTTCTCTCTCTCGGGGAGAGGAAGTGAAGCCACGTGCCGACACCAAGGATGGAGCCGTCGTTCCCAGGCTGTGTAAAGACGTTAGAGTTTACATCTACTTCTGTGTGACTTTCTCTGTTTCCTTTTCCAGCCCCCTCCAAGATGACAACCCTGGACGATAAGCTGCTGGGGGAGAAACTGCAGTACTACTACAGCAGCAGTGATGAGGAGGATAGCGAGAAGGAGGAGAACGAGGGGTCTCCCACTGGCCACGATGCCACCGTGCTGGAAGAGGTGGCCCTGAGCGCTGATGGCAGTGCCATAAACACAGGTACCTTCCTCCTTTAGAGTCCTCCGGTCGATCTCAGTCCGGTGCACGCCTCTTTTCTGTTTTTATTTTTGCATGCGGTGGTCGTTTATTTTTAAATGATCTTGGCAGGGATTTAAAAACAATAAAAAAAAACTTTATACAGCCCTCTCTAAGCAGCTTACAGAGTCACCTGCCCTGGTTAGTTACCAAGAGACACTTTTGGTGCTGGAGACACTGCGCTCTGTTTTCGCAGCAACGCGACTGCTGGGTGCGAAATAAGGGGTGAAAGAGAGCTTAGAAAGAAAAACAGAATTAGCCAAAGCAAAGGAAGGAATACAGAGTAAGGATGAACGGAAGGAGGAGGACGGTGGGGATAGCAGAAGGAAAATGGGAAGAAGGGAAGGCGGCACGCTTCCCAAGTTCAAACCACGATCAACTCAGCGTATGCCTGGAACTCTCAACCTCAGCCACTTTTAAGATGTGTGGACTTCATCTCCCATAATTCCCCAGCCGGCTTATTTTTTTTTAATAAGCTTTTTACTTTTTAAAAAAACTTGAACATATCTTCCATTGATCAGTGGGTACAAATGTCGCTGTGCTATTACAAAATTTGCAATATTCATTCCATTGGTAATAATTCTCCAGTCTTACAGTGATAACAATCAGCATTATAACTCTATTCATTTCTCCTCCTTAACGTATCTTCTAATGAAAATACAATATGTAATATAGGGAGCCTCGGTGGCGCAGTGGCCAGAGTGCAGTACTGCAGGCTACTTCTGCTGACTGCCGGCTGACTGCAATTTGGCAGTTCGAATCTCACCAGGCTCAAGGTTGACTCAGCCTTTCGTCCTTCCTAGGTGGGTAAAAGGAGGACCCCGATTGTTGGGGGGGGGGGGCAAGAGGCTGACTCTGAAAGCCGCTTAGAGAGGGCAGGAAAGCACTGTGAAGTGGTATATAAGTCTGAGTGCTATGGCTATTATTGTAGCCAATTGGATGTTGCATTAGAAGCCATGGTGGCGCAGTGAATAGAATGTAATATTGCAGGCTAACTCTGCCCACTGCTAAAAGTTCAATCCTGACCAGCTCAAGGTTGACTCAGCCTTCCATCCTTCCGAGGTCGGGTAAAATGAGGAGCCAGATAGTTGGGGGCAAGAGGTCTGAGTCTGTAAACTGCTTTAGAGAGGGCTGTAAAAGCGCTGTGAAGCGGAATATAAGTCTAAGGGCGATTGCTCTTCCTTCCTTCCTTCCTTCCTTCCTTCCTTCCCTCCCTCCCTCCCTCCCTTCCTTTCCAAGCAATAGCGGACTTATATACTGCATTATAGTGCTTTCCAGCCCCCTCTAAGCAGTTTACAGAATCAGCCTCTTGCCCCCAACAATCTGGGCCCTCATTCTACCCACAAAAGGATGGAAGGCTGAGTCAGCCTTGAGCTGGTCAGGATCGAACTCCTGGCAGTGGGCAGTTGGCCTGCAACATTGCATTGTAACAAGAGCATCACTATTCCTTCCTTCCTTCCTTCCTTCCTTCCTTCCTTCCTTCCTTCCCTCCCTCCCTCCCTCCCTCCCTCCCTCCCTCCCTTCCTTTAACCCGTCGTTAAAGTGCAGTATTGCAAGCTAACTCTACCCACAGCCAGGAGTTTGATTCCTGACTCAAGGTTGACTCAGCCTTCCTTCCGAGGTGGGTAAAATGAGGACCAGATTGTTGGGGGCAAGAGGCTAACTCTGTAAACCGCTTAGAGAGGGCTGTGAAAGCTCTGTAAAGCAGTATATAAATCTAAGGGCTATTGCTATATTAGGTATCATAATCTTAACAATCGTATTAATAATAGTCAGATAGTCCGATGCATGCCTGAAGGAGTCTGTTACAATTCACAGTTTTCTAAACCTCAGGTAATCCTGAACAGTTCATTTAGCGACCGGTAAACGTGGTCTCTTTCCTGGGGTTTTCCTGTACAGATAGTCCTCAGCTTCACAATCATTCATTTAGTGACCATTCAAAGTTGCAACCCCACTGGAAAAATGTGACTTACGACCGCTTTTCACACTTAATGACCATTGGTAGCATCCCCGCGCTCAATGTGAGCAGAATTGGACCTTCCTTGCCACAGTTGTCCAGTGAATCACTGCAAACTGGTAAGTGAGTAATCTGGTTGTTAAGCGAATCTCGGCTTCCCCGTTTGTTTTGCTTGTCGGAAGGTCGTAAAAGGGATCGCGTGCAACCGGCGTAAATAGGAGTCAGTTGTTCAGCGTCTGAATTTTGAGCATATGACCATGCACCGGTCGTAAGTGTGAAAAACGGTCATAAGTCACTTTACTTTTTTTGCAATGCCGTTGTAACTTTGGTCACTAAACGAACTGTTGTAAGTTGAGGGCTACCTGTAAATATTTCAGTCTTTTCAGGGTTTCGTTTCAGTCTTTTAAAGAAACAGCCTTTTTTGTTTCTTTTTTAAAAAAAATTATTTATTTTCAAAATACATGTGTATTTACATTTTAACAGTTCTGTGTCAAGCATGGCAGTTACATAAATAAAATACATTTTATTTACAATTCTATTTCATATCAAATCTTATTCCTTTTTTTCTAACCATATACATAAAACATTTCCCAGACTTCATAAAACTCCGACTCCTCTTTTCCTTTTAGTTTTCTGCTAGCCATCTCGGCACACTCAAGTATTTTGTTAACTACCATGGTTTCAGAAGGTACGTCATCTACTTTCCAGTTTCGAGCATAAGTGATTCTCGCCACTGTTATTACATGTTGAGCGACGTATTGGGTGGATTTCTCCAGATTTTTTTTTTGTTCCTTATTGTAACCCAATAAGGAACAAAAAAAAACCTGGAGAAATCCACCCAATACGTCGCTCAACATGTAATAACAGTGGCAAGGGGCAGGGGTCCTCAAACTTGGCAATTTAAAGACTTGTGGACTTCAATTCCCAGAATTCCTCAGCCAGCTCTGTCTGTTTCTTACCTGCCAAAGTGGAGAGATTGCAGAGGAAGGGATCGCAAGAGAGTAAGCTTTGCTGCCTGAGGAATTTTGGGAATTGAAGTCCACAAGTCTTAAAAGCTGCCAGGTTTGGAGACCTCTGGGTTAGGTTTAGGTTTACAAGAATGTAAAGAAAGTGGAGGGTTTGGACTACCCGATTGGCTTTCGTATTACCAAGCCTAAAAGGCTAAAAGAATGGATAACCCTCAAACAACAAGAGACTGTTATATTTAGAAGGACATGATCTACAACTGGGATGGCACGCTTTCTTACAGTACGAGAAGAATAAAATCCACAGATAACTTTCAACATCACTACATGAGAAACTCGCTATTATCTGTAAGGCGGGAAAACATAAAAAAAAAAGCTAAGATCTGTTTGAAAATCCCAGAATGTGTCAGGCTACAGGACTTTTTCCCATTCAATTCACAAGAATTAAATTCTGAAAACCGAACGTATCAAAAGGAATCCTTTATTGAGATGAGACAATTCATGTAGGAGTTCAAAGCAGCGTCTAATGTCTCTCAGGCCTACCGGGATAGATAAGGGAGTTTAGAACCCCTCCCTTTCTCTCAATGTGTATTTAGTGAAACGAAAGCCAGTATTTTTATTCCCCCCCACCCCTTCTGAAGGAACGATCTTGTTCACAGTTTCCCAAGCATACCACTCACTCTGGAATTTTTATGGCCTTCTCATCTCCTGGCTGTGCCTCTCAGAGGTGATAGGTTCCGTCCATCTGGCTTTTTTCCCTCCATTGTATCATGTGTGGGTTATACAAATACAAGATTGAATTTATTAAGGTTACAACAAGACAGGATTTCTTTATCACCCCTCCCCCCCACTTTTCTTCTTCCAACTGAAGAAATGACAGATACACAGATCTGACAGAACGTCTCTCAACGATGGAAGCGTTTCCATATCCAAATCTGGCAAAGTTTGGGGGGGAAAACGGTGCTGTATAAAGACATTTTGGACACCGAAGGGAAATTAAAATGGAGGCAAGAGCTTGAAGACCAGGGTATTAAGTTATCATGGCGGCTTCCGTCGCAAATGCAATCTAGATACGACTAAAGATGTGAAAACGTACGGCTTTATATACGAGGACAGGCTGCCTTCCATCGGGTCTTGTTGAATTTGGGTGGCGCCCCAGTCTGAGTGGTGGGATTTGTGTGTTGTCGTCGTTTTCCCAGGTCCTAAAGGGGTGATCAACGACTGGAGGAGGTTCAAACAGCTGGAGACGGAGCAGAGGGAAGAGCAGTGCCGGGAGATGCAGAGGTTGATCAAAAAACTCTCCATGACCTGCCAGTCACACCTGGATGAAGAGAAAGGCAAGCAGAAGCAGAAGGAATTGCAGGAGAAACTGAACGACAAGGTAAAATCCTCCCGATGGATTTCCCGGTGTTGCTGCTTCGCAAATGTATTTATTTGTAAAATTTATTGCCATGCGGTAACTCTGGGTGGTTTGCAGTATGCAAATCCCAGCGGGCAGCTTCTGATCACCTGCGCCTCACACCTTGAATTGCGCATTTAACAATCCAAGTGAGCAGACGTATCTCTAAGAACACTCCAGAAGCTGGAATAATCCTTTTTTTTTTTTGAGGGTGGCCGAGCTTCATTCTAGGCCAGATTTTGGTCTTCGTCCAAAGGACACCTGAGAAGATTGGCTAGCCGAGAATAGCAATAGCCCTTAGACTTATATGCCGCTTCACAGAGCTTCTCAGCCCTCTCTGAAGCGGTTTGCAGAGTCAGCAGCTTCTCCCAACATTCTGGGTCCTCGCCTGACTGACTTTGGAAGGACGGAAGGCTGAGTCAACCTTGAGACGGTCAGGATCGAACTCCTGGCTGTGGGCAGACTTAGTCTGCAATGCTGCATTCTAACCACTGGGAAGGAAGGAAGGAAGGAAGGAAGGAAGGAAGGAAGGAAGGAAGGAACAATAGCACTTAGACTTATATACCGCTTCACAGAGCTTCTCAGCCCTCTCTGAAGTGGTTTACAGAGTCAGCAGCTTCACCCAACATTCTGGGTCCTCACCTATCTGACTTTGGAAGGATGGAAGGCTGAGTCAACCTTGAGCCGGTCAGGATCGAACTCCTGGCTGTGGGCAAACTTAGTCTGCAATGCTGCATTCTAACCACTGGGAAGGAAAAGAAGGAAGGAAGGAAAGGGAAGGAAGGAAGGAAGGAAGGAAGGAAGGAAGGAAGGAAATAACAATAGCACTTAGACTTATATACCGCTTCACAGTGCTTTCCAGCCCTCTAAGCATTTTACAGAGTCAGCATAATTTCCCCCAATAATCTGCGTCCTCATTTTACCCACCTCGGAAGGACGGAAGGCTGAATCAACCTTGAGCCTGGTGAGATTCGAACTGCCAAATTGCAGGCAGCTGGCAGGCAGCAGAAGGAGCCTGCAGTCCTGTCTTCTAACCACTGAGCCACCACAGCTCTAGAAGAATAGAAGGAGTTGAGACTAGGATTCTCCAGTGGTTCTCGCAAAACGTCCAGTCTTGAGTTTCAGGAAGGAAGGCAAAACTTTCACAGAGGCAAGCAAAGGGAAATATATACGCGGGAACTGGATATGTCTAATCTTAATGACGAGAAGAATTAGGTGGGGTATGATAGCAGGGTTCCAATATTTGAGGGGCTGCCACAAAGAGGAGGGCGTCGACCTGCTTTCCAAAGCATTTGAAGGCAGGACAAGAAGCAACTCGTCAAGGAGAGGAGCAATCTAGAAATAAATTTCCTCACAGTGAGGACAATTCACCGTTGGAACAACTTGCCACCGGAAGTTGCCGGTGTTCCAACACTGGAGGCTTTTAAGAAGAGAGCGGACAGGCATTTGTCTGGAATGGTTTAGGGCAGTGGTGGCTAACCTTTTTGGCCAAAAATTGTGCAGGCGCTTGCACACTTGTGCTCCTGTGCCAGCACCCAGAAGGCAATGCCCACCCCCCCCCCCCCCCCCCCCCCCCCGCGCCCACCAACCCCCCCCCCCCCCCCCCCCCCTTACCTCCACTGTGCCCCATAGCTGATTTTCGGCCGATTTGAGGCCTTTTTTGGCCTCCCAGAGGCTTCAGGAAGGCTTCTACAGGCTGAAAACTAGCCCCGTTTGGTCACTTCCGGTATTTCCGGAAAAACAGGAAGTGACAAAACGGGCCTAGTTCTCGGCCTGTAAAGCCTGCAGAAGCCTTCCTGAAGCCTCTGGGAGGCCGAAAAAGGCCTCAGACCTGCCAAAAATCAGCTGCATGCGCAGTGAGGTAAGTTTGCCCTGCAGCTTGTTGTGCCGGTGCCACAGGTTTGCCATCACGGCTATAGGGTCTCCTGTTAGAGCATGGGGTTGGACTAGAAGACCTCCAAGGTACCTCCTTCTGTTATCTTCGTGCTTCCTGATTATTCGCAGCGTTCCTCGGCTTGTTAGCATTTATGCCCCTTCAAACCCTCCGGCACCCAGGCAGGATCCCCCTCCCCCAGCCTCCTCCTTCCGGTTAAAAGCTGTGGCCTCTTTCTCCCCCCCCCCCAGCTGTCCCTGCACCAGGAAGCGGACGACGAGGCGTTCCTGCAGCAGTACCGCCAGCAGCGCATGGAGGAGATGCGCCGTCAGCTGCACCCGGGCCAGCAGTTCAAGCAGGTCTTCGAGATTGAGAGCGCCGAGGCCTTCCTGGAGACGGTGGACCAAGGCAACAAGAAGGCGCCGGTGATGATCCACATCTACGAGGAGGACATCCCGGGGGCCGAAGCCCTGGACGGCTGCATGCTCTGCCTGGCCGCCGAGTACCCCACGGTGAAGTTCTGCCGGGTGCGCAGCGCCCTGATCGGCGCCAGCTCCCGCTTCACCAGCAACGCCCTGCCGGCCCTGCTGGTCTACAAGGGCGGGGAGCTGGTCGGCAACTTCATCCGCATCACTGACCAGCTGGGACAAGACTTCTTTGCCGCGGACTTGGAGTCCTTCCTGCAGGAGTTTAGCCTGCTGCCGGAGAAGGACGTGGTGCTCTACACCTCCATTTGCAACGCGGCCTCGTGCTACGACGAGGACAGCGACCTGGAGATCGACTGAGAAGAGACAGGGCACGGAGGGGGCGGGCCCGGTTCTCTTCCCCGCTTCCCCCCAGGACCCCTGGCTGGCTTGGAAAAGGGAGCCGTTCACCCCGCAGCCCCCAGGCCCATCCGACAGGTCTACAGCCGGTTGCTGCTGCTTCCGCGGTGCCCCCCACCCCACCTTCTCCCGAGCCCTGCTCTGCGCCTGGGCACTGCGTAGAGCAGGGGGTTCCCCCGAACTTGGCAACTTTTAAGGCTTGTGGACTTCGACTCCCAGAATTCCTCAGCCAGCAGAGCTCGCGCTCTCCTTGGGATCCCGTCCTCTGCAACCTCTCCACTTTGGCGGGTAAGAAAGAAGACGCGGCTGGCTGAGGAATTAAATCCGCACGTCTGAAAAGTTGCCCAGTTTGGAGACCTCTGGCGTAGAGTCAGAAATAGGCCTTTGAGTTTGGGAGTCCTGTCACTCCAGCCCGCGCCCCCCCCCCACACACACCCGGAGCGGGGGCAGTGTGGGCTGTGGGTCAGCCCCACAGTTTCACTGGAGAGCCTCCTGTCTTTCACTTAATACCTGACCATGATCCACAGGACATGGCGGTCTTTGCAGTTGCCCGGGGTTTGTGGCTGCTCCTATCCCGGCTACCTTTTTTACGTCCGGTGAAAATTTTTGGAACTGGTGATCTCTCTCTCTCTCTCCCGTCCCCTCTCCCTCCCTCTCCTCTCCCCCTCTTCCCCCTCTCCTTCCCTCTCTCCCTCTCCCTCCCTCCCTCTCTCTCTCTCTCTCTGGATGTGGCTGTCCTGGGTTGTCTCACTCTCCTCCCACTCCCCCTGTCTTGTGCAGATTGACTGTTGAAGACTTCTTCATGCCTAGCAAAACTTAAAACAATGTCTTCTTAATGCAATAAAAGATTAAAAGCTGAACCTTCCGATGGAGTAGTTGCTTGATCAGTCCACACACGCTCGTTTTCCTTCTTGCCCTCACGCCGTCATGACCTCCTGGTCTGGAACCCGGAGAGAAGCAGCACAGGTAATCCTCAATTGACGCCTGCAATTGAGGTGAGAAATGGCCGTCCCGGGCAAGGTGTGTATGTATGTGTGTGTGTGTGTGTGAGAGAGAGAGAGAGAAAGAGAGAGAGAGTGTAAGGATGGCCCCTCCTCCTAACTTAAGAAAGGGAAGACTCTTGAGAGGGTGTTTTTCAAAAGGAGCCTTCAATTAAGCGGAAGGCCTAGCAAGGCATTCAAGGCCACACCTGGATACCCTGAAGCAAGAGAAGTCGAATTTCGCCAGATGTGGATTCAGCCAATCCACAGGTGTGAAGATGTTACTGTCCCAGCTGCCCTGAGAAACAGATAAGCAAGCCTTCCCATGGCCCTCTTCAGCCGGCTATTAAAGTGAAACAACCCACATGGCCCTCCCCCCTATACATTCCCCAAGAAGTGAGAAAAATCTCAGGGCCCTCTGGCGCCGGGATGCAAGTTATAAAATACCGGCTGTCCCAGGCAACGCTAACGAATCGAATCCAACCACCCCACTTCTCCCAATTGAACGGCAGGATCACTTTTAGGGATCTGACCGGGAGATCAAAGATTTGGGGCCGTAGGGGGGGAAAGCGGGGGAAGAAGTGGCACCCGGAAACTTCTTTCGTGCCAGTTGAGAAGAGGAGTTGAGGCCGGAGGGAGCTCATGTTGACGCAGCGCCACATTCCTGGCATACTTAGATGTTTGGAAGTTGCTAGGAGTTTATCTTTGGATTATCATAACAAGGAAACCTCTCCAACGCCCCAGGCTTCAGCTTGGCATAACTTCAGACTGGCATAACTCAACCCAGGTAGACTTTGTCTAGCTAGGTAACAGAGTTGGAAGGGACCTTGGAGGTCTTCTAGTCCAACCCCTTGCTCAGACAGGAAACCCTCTATCATTTCAGAGAAATGGTTATCCAACATCTTCTTAAAAACTTCCAGGGTTGGAGCATTCACAACTTTTGGAGGCAAGTAGTTCCACTGGCTAATTGTACTAAGTGTCAGGAAATTTCTCCTTGGTTCCGAGTTGCTGCTTTAAACAGATTTAAACGGAGAATGCTTCACACTGCAACACTTGGCTGCGAGGCTCCTCCTAATCCAGGAGCTTCCAGTGAAGAAATAAAGCACCTCGCGTCCTTCAGGAATGGTTGGTGACGCCTGAGCTTGGTGGTTTTCTCGAAGGCGTTTCATGACCCAACTAGGTAACGCTATCAGTGCTAACGCTGATGACGTTCCCTAGTTTGGGTCATGAAACGTCTGCAAGAAAACTGCCAAGCTCAGAGAGCACCCAGGACCCTACAGTCATCGTCGTCCTAGCACTGATGGTGTTATCTAGTCGGGTAATGAAATGTGCAAGAAAATCAAGCTTAGGAACAAGGACTTCACAGTAGTCTTCCTCCTTTTCTTCTTCCTGTTCCTCTTCCTCCTCCTTTTCTTCCTTCTCCTCCTCCTTTCCTCCTTTTCTTCCTCCTTTTCCTCCTCTTCCTCCTTTTCTTCCTTCTCCTTTTCCTCCTTTTCTTCCTCCTTTTCCTCCTCCTCTTCCTCCTTTTCTTCCTTCTCCTTTTCCTCCCTTTCTTCCTCCTCCTTTTCCTCCTCCTCCTCTTCCTCTTCTTCCTTCTCCTCCTCCCCTCCACAATCTCCCCTCCCTTCTAGCACTGATGGTGTTATCTAGTCAGGTAATGAAATGTGCAAGAAACTCAAGCTTAGGAACAAGGACTTCGCAGTAGTCTTCCTCCTTTTCTTCTTCCTCTTCCTCCTCCTTTTCTTCCTTCTCCTCCTCCTTTTCCTCCTTTTCTTCCTCCTCCTTTTCTTCCTCCTCCACCACCACCACAATCTCCCCTCCCTTCTAGCACTGATGGTGTTACCTAGTTGGGTCATGAAACGTCTGCAGGAAAACTGCCCAGCTGAGACAGCATCAACGACCCTTCACTATCGATCCCCAGCTACAAATATTCAGCGTGGTCCCTCAGCCTCTCGTCCTGGACCCCGTTCGGCCACCCGGCAAGCCTAGGCAGCCCCCCCCCCCCCCATCCTCCTGGCTCTTCCTGGCGGAGCCCATAAAACTGCTGGCTGCGCGACCAGATTTCCTCTGGTGAAGGCAAGAGAGGCTGCATTTGGGCTTTGTGGATCCAGTCCAGAGAAGTGGAGCGTGTGTGTGTGTGTGTGTGTGTGTGTGTGTGTGTGTGTGTGTGCAGGGGGGGGGGAATGCCCCAGTGTTTATAGGAACAATTTCTGTGCAAGCCAAGAGCTGAACTTCACCCGTTCTGCTGAATGCTCACTTTCCCAGCAGCTTTGCGTGTTTATCCATGATTTATGAGTCCTACAATGCCAGGAAGCAAAAGCCGGAATCCGTCTGCTTGGAGCTTCCTCTGGGTCGGGCAAGGAGGGGAGTTGCTGAGTTCAGAGCAGATGGGGGCTCTCTCTCTCCCCCGCCCCCACGCCCCCCACTCCCCCCGAGCATCCGTGACTCATGCGGTAAAACATGAGTTTACGTGTGTCATCCGTTGACTCGAGCGCTAAACCTTTGTTTACGTCCATCTGCGTCTTCCCAGCTGGAAGTGAAGCCTAAGCAGCTGTGCAGACAAACCCCTGGAGCCCACGTTGCAGCAGCTGGACCCAGCTGGGCCCTCCAAATGGAGGAGGCTCCCTCCTCCCCAGCCAGCGTGCCGAATGCGGGGATGGGGACAATGGGAGCTGAACGGTAGCATCCCCAGAGGGTGGCAGGGGATCCGCCTGCGCCCAAAACCAAGGGTGTTTTGCCTTGGGGCGAGAAATCCATCCGGTTTGGGCCTTTCCAGAATCCAAGGGACCCAGGTTGTGTTTTCTCTGCCCCACAACCGCACAGGAGTGAGTTTTACACACATGCACACAGAGAGTGGCCCTTTCGTTGCGTGTGTGTGTGTGTTTTTTTAGCAGAGAAAAGAACACAAACTTTGAACAAGGGGGCTTGAAATCCAGGGTTGTTGTGGTAAAGTTAAAATTTAAAGAGTGAAGAAGGGATAGGTGCTACGTGATTATATGTTATATTTTGCTTTTGTCTTTTTTCCTTTCATTTTCTTTCTTTCCTCTCTCTGTCCTTTCTTTCTTTCTTTCTTTCTTTCTTTCTTTCTTTCTTTCTTTCTTT